CGGGCAGTGTGTGCGCGGGTGCCCTGAAGTCTTGCAGATGTGGCAGAAGGGAGGTACTATCTTCGGTTGCTGCTGTCGGTTGTTATAATTGCTGTGTCGTCGTTGAGTGTGGAATGCGAACTCTGATACTGTCGTTTTCTTCCTGTGTCGTTCTTCCTGCAGGTCCATATCTTGCTGCTCGGCATGTATTTCGGCGCAGAGTGCAGCTTCAGAGATTCTTCCGTGGGCTCGAAGAATGGCTTTGGTGGCGCGCCACTGAGGACCAAGCCCACCAATGATGACTGTCACGAAGGCGTCTTCAGAGATTGACCCTCCGCATCGAAGCAGCTTGTCGCGCAGTTCGCGACATCGGCTGATATACGCCAGTCCTTTTTCTCCTGGTTTCATTTCGACTGTCGTCAACTGCGCCATTAACCTGCTCTGGTTTACACTGTCTGTTGCTTGATACAGGTTCTTCAGATGGCTGTACGCGAGCTCCGCCGAGTTGCCGAAGGTCCGGTAAGAGCGAATGTTCTGCTGCTGAGTTGGTGTCACGTTCCTCAATAGGATTGTATACGCCATCATTGATTGATACGTATACTGCTGCTTTTCATATTGTGTCCCGTTGGCTGGATACTGCAGGGACCCGTCGAAGAAGCCGAGTATCTGCGCGCCCTCCATCATCAGCTCGAATTCAAAGGACCAGGTAAAGAAGTCTTTGCCGTCGAAGGGTCTTGACGTTTGCAGTTTTAAGACGTGTGCAAACTGCGACTGAACTTGAAGTGCGTCCAGTGGTCTTTCTTGTCCAGGTGAAGGTTGCGGGTGGGGCACGAAGCTGATTGACCCGCGCTCGTACGGAGCAAAGGTAGGTTGCTGCTGCTGGTTTCCTCGCGCATATGACGACCCATCAAGACTCATGGGTGTCGCTCCGTTGTTGCTGTTGTGTGTTTGTGCAGGTCCCGACTGCTGGTGTTGTTCGTAGAAGGACATGAAGGAGAAAAATTTCTCCATCATGTTCTGGTCAAAGTCCGAAGGGTGGTTCATGGGGGTCTCGGTTGACGTTCCTCTTGGTCTTGTTGCCGTGCCTTCTTCTGTCTGCAGGCCAGAGGCTGGCGGTGGAGTAGGAGTAGTGCCCGAGGAGCCATTAGGGGAGCTCCTTTCCTTGTTTGTTGCCATGTCTTGTAATGATATTAAAAGGAGTAGAGTTTCCCTTGTCAGCTCTCATACCATGTTGGGCTGAGATAGCCCCTTAGGATCTTTGCAAGGGATAACTCTAGGTGAAGTAGTTGTAATAGCGGAAGCGTTTAGTGAAGAATTTGAACCGACCTTGCACTGGTGTGTGAGAGCAAAGTTGATTGAATTAAACAAGCAAATACAAGGATTTATATAAGAGTACAGGGAATAGATAGATAACTGTATTGCTGTTGCGGTTCGATATAGCGCGACTCGGGCAATTGCTCTGTAACGAGTCAGTTGTGTGTCCTTAACTGTCGCGCTGTAATTGTCGAGTCAAAGGTCAGCGACCTTTGACTTTCTCGTAACCTCCAGGCGGTTACCCTAACCTCCGAGGTTGACTCGATGCTTCGATTGGGACTGCTTCGCTTGGTACCTTGGATTTTGATACGACAGAAGCGCACTTAGGACTTATTGTTTCCAACATTGTCTAACATTTCAAGCCTTCCTGGTGGGCCTTCTCATTCTACTAATGACTAATTTGGTGCCTTCTATGGTTTTTTACCTGGCCATATGATGATGCCATGTGATTTTTGATACTGGTTATTTGTATTTGAAGACCCTTCTGCGTCAAACTAAAGGCTGTATGCGAGTTCGAAAGACCAGCTAATGTATAGGCTTTGTAGATTACATTGCTTAACATAAAGCTCTCACTAGCGCTTATGCTAATGGCGGGGAGAATCGCACACACCCAACGAAGCTATTTGGCGGAGAAAAAAACGAACCACACGCAGCGTTCTGCAGGCGCATCAGCCTGATTCGCCTGTTCGGAACATCTCAAATGTCGATTTCTGAGATACCAAATTTGTAACAAACGGAATTTGAAACAAACACGTGCGTTCATTTATCACGTCTGTACAGCTCATCCGTCGTGGCGCAAAAGGATTCCAGACGGTTCACAGCGTTTCCTAAAAATTGCCGTTTAAAACCGTGTCACAACGAGAGTAATCGCTCATAATGAGCTGTACACCAGCAATTAACGAACGCGCTCGCCCCGCCCTTAGTACGGAGCTCCTCGCACGAAACACAAAATACACGGAACTGAACGCGATAAGAGATCCAGGGAGCGCAGATACAGCCTAGAACTCCCAAATGCATTCCGTAATTCCCAATGCTAGCTTTGTAGGCGAATGCTTTCTCTGTCCCAGCCGCCTATCCGTCCAGATTCAATTACACAGGATAAGAATCTCGCCTGATGCTTTACCAGCAATAGACACGACATAGAACCTGAGAAACGCGTGGAGCTGCTCGCTATTTTCTGACATCGTGTGTGTGGGAGTAGCAGTAGGCGAGAGGTGCCTTCTCATCATTGTAGTTCGCTTTGCGTTGCGACACACTTTTATCGCTAGAACATCCTCGCATCCACGCAGTATAACGTTAACGCGTCACGGAATAATCGGCTGGCAGGCAGAATGCTGAAACCCGCGGAGCACCAGGTGGCCGGTCACCGCTTCGAGGGTGAGCGAAGGGGGAAGCGGGAAGGGGAAGGGAGGGAGGGGGGTTGGGTGGAAAGTGGGGAAGGGGAGGAATGGGAGAATGGGTTGTGCCGCAACCCGCGGAGCACCAGCTGGCTGGTCATTGCTTCGACGGTGAGCGAATCCTGGGGTAAGAGGGAAGGGGGAGGGGGAAGGGGGGTGAGGGGGAAGGGGAGAGGGCGGGAAGGGGGGTGAGGGAGAAGGGGATCTGCCGCAACCCGCGGAGCACCAGGTGGCTGGTCACCGCTTCGAGGATGAGCGACGGGGGAAGCGGGAAGGGGAAGGGAGGGCGGAGGAGAGGGTGTGTGTGGGGGGGGAAAGGGGGAATGGGAGCAGGGGGTTTGCCGCAACCCGCGGATCACCAGGTGGCTGGTTACCGCTTCGAGGGTGAGCAAGGGGAGCGTGGGGAGGGCGAAGGGGGTGCGGGGAGGATAGGTGACGGCGAGTGCGTTGGGAAAGGGGGAGAGGGAGAGGGAGTGGCGGAAGATCGAGGGGAAAAGGGGAAGAGACAGGGAGAGGGTGCTAAGGTGGATCACCTGGGAGGAACTGGGATGTGGGAGGTTTTCTTTAGAGAAATATCTAGATTGACTTCCAGGTGTTTGGTCACCGTTTCGAGGGTGAGCGGGCAAAGAGGGATTATTCGTTTAATTTTACGGGGTAGATAAATCAGTTCTTGCTAGTGTTGGAGGTTTATTGTTGACTAGGCTTGTCGAGGCGTTTCACTTCCGTTCTTGACACTTTCCTGCAGTACTTCCACAATTCTCCGTTTCCGTCTCCAATTCCAACAGAGGGCCGACAGGGTTCGCTAGTGGACGACTCGGGATGCTTTTATAAACCCATGCAAGCAGGCGAACGTGGCGAAAAGGAGCTAAAATTCTACACGCGGATCGCTGCGGACACGTCTATACCTGCGGAGATTAAAGCCATGTTTCCCGCGTGCCACGGGAGTAAGGAGGTGCTGCTGCCGCCGTCACACACGCCGTCTGCTGCTCTTGCTTCTGGCGCTGTTGCTGCTGCCTCTGCTTCGGCTGCCGCTGCTGTTGCTGCTGCTGGTGGTGCTGCGGATTCAAGCGGGGAGGAAGGAGGGACAGAGCAACAGCTTACACCAGTCAATATCCTCCCACGATCCTCCCCCCATTCACCCGCTCCCTGTGACCTTGGTCCAAGGACCAATGTTAGGGTCAGAGATAACCTCATGCACCCATGTTAATATCTCAAGCGACCCGTCCTCATGCACACACTCTTGAGATAACAGTACCATTAGACCTTTACACTGTCACAACGGACCAAGCATGTCAAGTTCTACCTTTGTTGTCTGATTTCTTAGTTTTCTCCAATCCATCAATCCCTGATTCGTTTTCTGGATACGTTTCTTCCTTGACTCCTCTCAACTCCTCTGTACTCCTCTCACCCTTCCCTCCCTCCCCAATTCGTTTTACACTTCTCTATCCTCCTCGCCTCCTCCCTTCCTCTCCTCCTTTCCTCCACTCCTCTCCCTTTCTCCTCGTCTCCCCCCTCCCCCCCCCTCTCCTCCTCTCCTCGCCTCTCCTCCTTTCATCTTCACCTCTCCTCCACGTTCCCACTTGCCCTACTCACCCTGCATTCCTCGATCTCCAATACGTCAACATTGACGTCATCGTTGACGGCAATCCATTTTGAACGTCAATATCTCATTGTGGTGCCTCAAAAGTCCCAACATTGTGACCAACTGTTTGTGCAACCATGGGCTTTCGAATATGTTGAGCTGGCATGCACCCACGTGTGTGGATGTGTGTAAGCGTGGGCATGTGTGAATGTGTAACTGTGTGGTATATGTGTGTGCATGCTTTCAAGGCTGGGTGCATGCATGATAGTGTGTGCTGGATTTGCGATGCGATGGCTGTATGATGGTGTATTACTTGCTCATTCATACATCACAGTTTCTTGTAATGGAGGACCTTACAAGGAATTACACCAAGCCATGCATCATGGATATCAAGGTGAGAGGGGCATGTGAGAACACATGATAATGAGTCATGCATGGGCACTGTGCAAATTATCAAGGTGATTCCGTTCCGTTCCACCTTTCCTGCAAGCAGACAGGGTGCGAGACATGGTATTAAGGGTGCATGTGCATGGGCTCTTGAAAAGTACATGCACGGCATGTGCCAGCCAGTTTACTTTTGAGCCGCCTTAGAAGTTGCCTTCTAACCTACAGCATGTGCCAGCTAGCTTACCCTGTCTTAATCTGTGTGTCCCCTCCCCAATTCCCCCCTCCCTCCTCTTACCTCCTACCTCCCCTCCCCACTCCCCCCTCCACACTCTGGGAAGCAGATGGGGCGCAAGACATGGTATGAAGGGGCTCCGCAGAAATACATCGACAAATGCTTGTGAGCCTCTTTCAAGCCTCTTCCAAATTCACGTGTAAAAATAGTACTTTTGAGACGTCTCAAAAGTACTCTTTTCACACAATGCTCATGAGCCTCTTTCAAACCTCTTCCGAATTCCAGTCAAGCACATTATTCAAAGCCGCTTTCTCCCTTCCTTTTCCTGCCCCATTCCCTAGCTATGTACACACACACAAAGGCAAAGACGGCACCACCGCAGCAGGGTGTGGGCAAAGAGGTGGATGATAGCAGCTGCTGGTGAATCTCCCTCAAAGGCAAATCCCCCTCGCTTCTGAGTCGACTCAAAAGTCGCCTATTGAGTCGACTCAAAAGTACACACGCGCAAAGGCAAAGACGTCACCACCGCAGCAGGGTGTGGACAAAGAGGTGTATGATAGCAGCAGGGTAACAGAAGCGTGGGGAAACGCTGGGGTAGAGGTTAGCGGGCATGCAGGTGCACGATAGCAGCACTGACGCCATATGGAGGGCTGCTGCTCTCTGTCTAAGCGAAACCCTCCTGCCTTTACAGTCCCCCCCTCCTTTGCTTCTCCCAGCTCGTGCGTTGACAGGGTCAAAGAAGCCACCGCCACTTCAGGTTCTCCAGGTTCCAGTCAAGAGTAGCGGTCATGCAGATGCACGCACGACAGTTGCACTTGCGCCATGTGGAAGGGTGCTGTCAGTCTAAGACCAACCCCACTGCCCTTTCAAACCCTCCCGGCTCGTGCGTTGACAGGGTCAAAGAAGCCACCGCCACTTCAGGTTCTCCAGGTTCCAGTCAAGAGTAGCGGGTATGCAGGGGCATGGCAGCAGCACTGGCGCCATGTGGTTGTGTCATCTGACCCAGCTGTCCTCCTGCCCCTCTTCCATCTTGCGCTCTTTTCGATCTATCCTTCCTTTGTTTCTCCCGGTGTGTGCTGCATGCACGTACAGGGCCAAAGACGCAACCACCACCACCTCGGGCACGCTGGGCTATAGAGTAGCGGGCATGCAGGTGCACGACAGCAGCACTGGCGCCATCTGGAGGGGTGCTTAGGGCTGGAAAAAAGTCTCAGATTCTTAATCCAGTTCCTCTCTCCCCCTGCCTGTGCGTTGACAGGGTCAAAGACGCCACCACCACGAGTGGAACGCTGGGCTACAGGGTGGCGGGCATGCAGGTACAAGACAGCAGCACTGGCGCCATGTGGAGGGCTGACCGCAAGTGGTGCCAGAACCTGACCAATCAGCAGATGCCAGCTGTCTTCCGCCTCTTCTTCTCCCTGACTCCCACCGCTGACGCCCCTGCCGTCGATGCTATTGCCGCTGCTGCTGGTGGTGCTGGCAATGCTACTACTGCTCTTGCTGCTGCTGCTGGTTCTCTCAGTGCGGAGGCGAAGGAGAGAATGAGAGGCGTTTTGAGTGGAGAGGGAGGGCTGTTGGCGCAGCTGCAGACACTGAGGGACTGGTGAGCGTTTTTGTACTGAACCTTTTTGTCCAGCAACCTCCGCTTGACGAACTTTTTTGCCTCCTTCTATGGGTTCTCCTCTTCTATCCTCCTCAGTTGCAAGGATAACAACAGCAGCACCCATGCTCCCCCTCCCACTCTCACACCTTCCACTCATTCCCACCATTGCTTCCTCACAGGTTCGCCCAGCAAACCTCCTTCCACTTCTTCTCAGCCTCTATCCTGTTGATTTACGAGGCCAACACATCTGAACACGAAGGGGCAGAGGCAAGGGAAGAAGGGAAGGAGGCGGGAAGGGGTGCTGCCCACCCTCCCTCTCTGAGGCTCGTGGACTTTGCACATGCCATCGATGCGCAAGGCAAGGTAGATGAGAACTTCCTAGAGGCTGTGGATGGAGTGATGGCTGCATGGAAGGCGGTGCTGGGAGAGTAGTGAGTGTAGTCAAGTGAGTGGACACAGCTATCCCCCGTCTCTGAGGCTCGTGGACTTTGCACATGCCATCGATGCGCAAGGCAAGGTAGATGAGAACTTTTTGCAAGCTGTAGATGGGGTGAAGGCAGCGTGGAAAGGAGTGCTTGGAGAGTAGCGGGTCAAGTCATTAGGTGCATGGATGGGCGCATGGGTGGGCACAGCTCCCTTTTCTGAGCGTGGTAGACTTTGCACATGCCATGGATGCGCATGGGAAGGTGGATGAGATTTTTCTGCTGGCTGTAGATGAGGTGGCCGCAGCATGGAAAGAGGTCCTGGGAGAGGAGTGAGGCAAGTCACTGGGCGCAAACCGTAGCTGGACATGGCACTATGGATAATGGGTGTATGGGCTGGCATGGGGAGGTGGATGAGAACTTCCTGCTGGCTGTAGATGCTGTGATGGCAGTGTAGCAGGCAGTGCTGGGAGAATAGTAGGTTTAATCGTTTAGCGCATGCACGGGCACGGGGAGGTGGATGAAAACTTCTTGCTGGCTGTAGATGCTGTGATGGCAGTGTAGCAGGCAGTGTAGCAGGCAGCGTAGCAGGCAGTGCTGGGCTGGGAGACCAGTGACCTGTGACAATTTTGTGGTTGTGACAACTTATGATGGTTCCTCCTCATGGATTGCGGTTAACATGTTGGAGTATTAGACCCACACAAATAAAGAGTGCCATCTGCCAGTCACGTATTCATCAACTGGTGAGCAGAATATGGGCTAGTGAAGGGCAGTTTGTTTATGAAGAGGGTGGATGCATGCGTGCAGTGTGAACACACACCCACCCACAGCAACAAGGGGCGGAATTATAAATTTTCAAGAAGGTCCCACCGAGAATTGAACTCGGGCATTCAGATTCAGAGTCTGACATCATAACCGCTAGATCATGGGACCACGCTACCGGAAATGCAAAATAATACTAATCAATTCAACATGGTCACAAAATCAACTACGGTATTTCGGTTTCACGGCCTCATGCTCAGTACTTATTACCGAGGCTAGCATTGCAGGCAATCATCTGCACTGTTGGAGATCATCGTTCCATTTTTTTTGAAACCGTTGATAAATTTGTACAGAGTTAACAACTTCCTCGAGTCTCTCCCTCTCCCCCTCCACACACCTCATCCCACTACTCCAACCAAGGAAACATTAGTGCCAGCCAGGCCAGCCTAACCTTTCCTCAACCCTACGGCAGGGCCAACAGGCGGAGGGCTAGGGCGGACGGCTGCTCAAAACCGGTTCACAAACTCCCTTCCTCTCTTCCTCAAACCAGGGGCACAGCATTCCTGACTGGCTAACAGTTTCTCAAGCCTACGGCAGAGCCAACGGGCGGAGGGATAGGGCGAACAGCTGCTAGAAACCGGTTCACAGCCTCCCCTACTTTCCCTCTTCCTCAAACCAGGGGCACAGCATTCCTGGCTGGCTAACTTTTCTTCAAGCCTACAGCAGAGCCAACGGGCGGAGGGATAGGGCGAACAGCTGCTAGAAACCGGTTCACAGCCTCCCCTACTTTCCCTCTTCCTCAAACCAGGGGTACAGCATTCCTGGCTGGCTAACTTTTCTTCAAGCCTACGCCAGAACCAACGGGCGAAGGGATAGGGCGAACAGCTGCTAGAAACCGGTTCACAGCCTCCCTCACTCTCTTCCTCAGCCCCTCCTCCACACACTCCACCTCCCCTCCCTCCTCCCCCACTCTCACACTCACCTCCACCCCATCCACACTCACTCTCAACCCCTCCTCGCCGACCCTCCTCACTCCGCCAAACATACTCTCTAGCACTCGCTCCAAGTGCTTCATCTCGTCCTCTCTAAGCCACCTCCACTTCCCTCCTTCCTCCCCCTCTCCCTCTCCCTCTCCCTCTCCATCTCCTTGTCCCTCCTCTCCCTTCGCAATAGCCTTCGATTTAGCTTCCTCCTTCCCCTCCTCTTGAATTTCCTCCTTGCCTCCTCCGCCCTCCTCGCCCTTCTCTTTCCTCTTCTTATCGCTCTCTCCGACAACCAAAGCACCTGTCTTGTCGTCTAGTTCCTCTCCCTTCACCACCTTCTCTCCTCCCTCCCTTCCCCCACCTTCCACCTTCACTCCTCTTCCTCCTCTCCCTCCGCCTGCTGACATCAGCAGGGTCAGGTCCTTGCCAGTTTGCCGCCCGGATTCCAGCTGTAGAATCAGAGCCACAATCGAATCCGCCAGCATATCTCCCACAGGCTCGGAAGCCCACTGCAGCACCACCCTGTCTTCCCCCTCCCTCGCTACAATCACCTTCTCATGCACCTGCACTGCAGGCACGCCAGCATCCTTTATAAGCACGACCGAGTCGAACAGCATCTCCAGGCGCCTTATAATGGGTTCGAACGGGCCTATAAAGGGTACGGACTGCCTCTGAACCACGGTGCCGAGTCCAAGGGAGGTGTAGGAGGGGAGGTCCTGAGGGTCTAGTAGCTGGTAGTTAAAGCCCTTGCGCACTAGCAGCCCACTTATAGTGCGCCCTGCTGCTGCTCCCCCTGTTGGTTCAGCTGCCTCTGTTGCACATCCCGCCATTGCACCTCCCCCTGTTGCTCCTCCCCCTGCTGCTCCTGCTCCTGTAGTTGCTTGGGTGGCGCCTGCTTTGCTAGATGGGTTGCTTGATGCTACCAGCCCTCCCGTAACCTCTGCTGCTTTGATTGCCGGAGCAGCAGCACCACCACCACTATCACCAGCACCAGTACCGGCAGCAGCAGCATCACCACCCCCCCCCTCCCCATCCTCCTCCCCATCAGGAGCCATAACCCCCCCATTCTCCGCAATCCTCCCCACCACCTTCGCAATCTTCTCCCCCTTGAAAAAAAACTCCACGCCCTGGCAATTCTTCGGGGTGTGAATACTCGGCGGGGCCGGCGAGTCCTTGAAATGCAGCGCAAGCTTGGCTTTAAGCCGTGCCATCTCGTGCGCCTCCCCGTGAACCAGCACGATGTGGGGGGGACGGATCTGCTCCAGAAAGTGGGAGGTCTGCGGGTAGTCGGCGTGGGCTGCGAAGGACACGTAGTGGACCTTCATGCGGAGAGGGACGGTGGCACCGGATTGGAGAGTCACCTCGTTGGGCTCGCTCAGAATGGTCTTGGCTAGCGTGCCCTCTACCACGTACCCTGGGATCAGGCATGTGTTCCTGGAGGAACGGTACCGGGTGGGGGGAAAGAGAAGAAAAGAGAGAGGGACGGTGGCGCTGGATTGAAGGGTCACCTCATTGGGCTTGCTCAGAATGGTCTTGGCTAAGGTGCCTTCAACCACATACCCTGGGATCAAGCACGTGTTCCTGGGGGGAAGAACGGGAAGGGGACAGATGAGAGGGAGCGGGGAAGAGGGAGAAGGGAGGGTGGGTGAAATAGAACGATGGAGGGGAGGGTCCAGGAGGGTGGGTGAAATAGAGCGATGGAGGGGAGGGGGTGGGTGAAATAGAGCGATGGAGGGGAGGGGGTGGGTGAAATAGAGCGATGGAGGGGAGGGTCCAGGAGGGTGGGTGAAATAGAGCGATGGAGGGGAGGGTCCAGGAGGGCGCTCCTCCACCTCGCATCCTGGCACCGCATGTCCAACAGCTGGCGTGACAGCCCGCTCTGCAGCCCGCCCGGACTAGCCATGACCACAGAAGGGCCCGTGTCCTCGAATTCAGCAATGCTCCTCAGCACCTTCAACACAATTTCCCTTCTTCCCTTTACCCTGCAATCTATCACCTGGCATCCTGGCACCACATGTCGAATAGCTGACGGGATAGACCGCTCTGCAGCCCACCCGGGCTAGCCATGACCACAGCCGGCCCCGTGTCCTCAAATTCAGCAATGCTCCTCAGCGACTTGATGAACCGGAAGTCAAACGGGTTGGAGACTTCCGCTTGCTCGCGAATGCGGTCGTTCATGGCGCTTAGGTAAGTGCTGGGACGAGAGAACAAAGGGAAAGAGAGTGGGAAAACGGGGACCATCTGAGTTGGATGCAACTCAGAGTAGAAAATTCAGAGTTAATCGAGACTCTGAGGCTCGATAAACTGGAAAAAAGAGGAGGCACACAGAAGTGTTTTCTGGAGGAACAATAGGAATTTTCATTTGGCAATTGGGTATGCAGATGCGGTTGCTTATCACACTTCAGCATTGCAGAGCATTCAAAAGCGGTTGTTGAATGCGATCACTCCTATCACTTTCTCCCTCACTCACTCACTCCTATCACTTTCTCCCTCACTCACTCACTCCTATCACTTTCTCCCTCACTCACTCACTCCTATCACTTTCTCCCTCACTCGCTCACTCCTATCACTTTCTCCCTCACTCGCTCACTCCTATCACTTTCTCCCTCACTCGCTCACTCCTATCACTTTCTCCCTCACTCACTCACTCCTATCACTTTCTCCCTCACTCACTCACTCCTATCACTTTCTCCCTCACTCACTCACTCCTATCACTTTCTCCCTCACTCACTCACTCCGATCACTTTCTCCCTCACTCACTCACTCCGATCACTTTCTCCCTCACTCACTCACTCCTATCACTTTCTCCCTCACTCACCGGTACACCACCATAGTCTTGCAGGCGAGAGGGGAGGCATAGAGCAGTGGCACGTGCTGCACCTTGGGACGCAGCACAAGACCGCTCTGCACCCCTCACCACCACGATGTGTGTCACTCACCGATACACCACCATGGTTTTCCTTGCAAGCGGACAGGCATAGAGCAACGGCACGTGCTGCACCTCGGGGTGGCCCCTCCAGTGCTCGTCCAGAATCAGAAGCAGCTCCAGCCACCACTACAGCACAGCACCGCACTGCACCGCTCACCACCGCTCTAACCCCTGTGAACCACTCCCACTCACCGATACACGACCATAGTTTTCCTTGCGAGGGGCGACGCATAGAGCAGCGGCACGTGCTGCACCTCCGGATGGCCCCTCCAGTGCTCGTCCAGAATGAGCAGCAGCTCCTGCGCTCGCCCCAGGGCGAACGCCGGGATGAGCACC